GGATCATATCAGAGCCACTGCCTTCATCAATTACATAGAGAAATCCACGTTAAGCTTTAATCTTGCTCTCATGTCATAACATTAAATCCTCTGAAACATGTCCCTTGCACACAAAAGCACCTTTTTCTTCGGTGCTATTCTCCCTTTTTGCATTCTGATAGCATCATTCATTATTGATTTTCTTCACTTCAGAACTTCCTTCACTCTATTTTTCTCTTTTTCTCTTGTTTTGCATGGCCACGTTTCCCTTCTGATGCGGTGCCGAGGAGAATGAAACAACACTATTAAGAGGTGATGAAAGAGGCCTGAATATTTCCCACCTAATCTTGTCTCCACAGCTCACAGCTCACAGAAGGCATCCTGCTTGTTTTTGTTTAGCTGGCAGATAATCCAATCGGAGAGGGGCCAGGCTGCCTGTGATACAGTGGGGAGTAGTGCAGACAAATATGTTGACAGCCTCACCATTCCTTGTCTGCTTTGCTTCTTGTGGCCAGCAGTAGGCTACCAAAGTATGGTAGATTAATAGCTGATAGATGACCGACTGACTATGTAGCTGACTACTTCATAACAAGCGTCACCTCCCCTGTTTATGAGAGGTCCTTTCAAAAATGTAAATCTCCCAAAGAAAACGACACAAATCGTGGAACCTGGTTAAAAATAAAACAAACTGGCGATATGATGATGTTTTATCACTGCTATGCAATCTTTTAGTGACTTTCAGAGGTAATAAGGACATGACTCCAAAACTCTGCAACCAGATGCCACAAAGAAAACTTCTAAATGTTATAATTATTATTAGATTTCACTACATAATAATTAAAGATGAATGAAAAGCTTAATGGCATTAAAGATGCTGATTTACGCTCATTTGTAACTCTGTATTTTTATACTTGGTGTTTGTGGGATTCATAGTTTAGTCCTTATTTATCATATACTGGACCTTACATCATCCCCTCTAGTTCGTCTGCTGTCTGAAACCAGACAGTTTAGCTCTCCTTGGGTTGGGGGCCCCATCTCTTAAAGCTCCCTTTTTTTCTGATCGGCTGCACCTCGCAAACACCTGGTGCTTTTCTATTTTCTCGTACTTCTTCCTTCTGATGGGGCTGTGCACCAGGACTGCCACAAGTACAATCCTTGACAATCACCACAATGTCTGGTTGATTGGCCAGAAGCTGCTTGTCTGTCTGGAAATCAGAGTCCCACAGGACCTTAGCCCTGTTGTTCTCAGCCACCTTTGGTGGTGCCTCCCATTGATGTTCCTGTACACAATGCCAGCCACTTACTCGTGCCTCCGTGTAAGCATCTTACATCCTGCTACTATGTGGTGAATAGACTCTGGGACATCTATGCGCAGTGTGTGGCAGACTCCTGTCTCTATGGATGTGGTCCTTAGGGCCTGTTCTTGTGCTGGTATAATCAGAGCTCTGTAATGTCCTTTAGGCCGACATTTTGTAGCCACTAGCAGGATTTTTTTAATGTCAGTCACTTCAGTCAGTGGTACATCTTATGCAGGGACTTAGTCCTCCACTATAGTTTGTCTTCCTGTTCCTCATCACTGTGTGTCTTCAGCTGCCTACGGCACTTGGTGTACAGTGTGACCTTGGCAATGGGGGACAGCAGAGCTCTGAGCAGAACTCCTTTTTAACTTTGGTTTGTTCGCTACCAAACCTCAAACTTTTTAGGTGCTAAATGTTCCATACTGACTTCTTTGCTCTGAAAACAGCTGTCTTCTACAGCTGGCAATGAATTTGTTGAAGGTAAAAACTGTGGACAGGGAAGCGAAAGCAATGAGAAAAAAAAAAGGCAAGCAAGTTTTCGTAGAGGGGAGGCAAGCCTCAGAATAAGGTAGCAGTTTTGTGATTGAAAAGAAAAACAAATCACTAACAACAAGAATCTAAGTACTGTTTGGGTTGCATCTGTATTTTTCTGCTTCTTAAAAAGCCATCCCAACCCATGTTCTCTAGTAGCAAACACTTGGAGAATTCAGCCTCACAATGATAGGAAGAGCCAGCGTTAAAGGGTAGAAAAGTGGCACTGCTATAAACGGCTCGCTGCAGCAAGCCAAGTTATTCCTGTTTCAACTTTTCTCACACCTTCTCCTTACCTCCTCACTGCAGTTTTAATTTGTGTCTCCTATGACGATATTTGTGCTTCCATGTAAGCATGAATATTTCTGTGTGAGTGTGCATCCCACATGCAGACTGTCTCCAAGCTCTTAATAGATATGTGCTGCGTGTGGGCTCATCTATACAAGATTTTATGCTGGCAATTCTAGGCTTGGATATCACTTGCGTAGGAGTTTTTGTTTATCTCCTATTATAGGTACAAGCATTGGACCAAAAACTTTCCCAACTCTGTGTTTCAATTAAGCACTTGCTATATGTATTGAAAAAAAAAAACTTTTTAAAAATAATGTTTATGTGGGTGTCAGTCTTTTTTAAATTATTTTCCCTTTGTGGCTTATCTGTTTTGCAAATTGAAGACATTTGGGTTAGGAATTTAAGCTTATTTGTATTTCATACTGAGGCAAGGTAATGTCATTCAGACAGGAGTAGGAAGGTCAGTATTTCCCATCATACCTCAGCCCCCATAGCCCATGCAGCTAGCACGTGTCGGCAAAAGTTGAGCTTTTTCGGCTTCATTTTGTCATCACAGGAGCCGCTGTACCCTGGAACTGCAGGGACATCTGGAGAACACTCAAACACTTCTATGTGATGCACGATGGCCTCGTTCCCTGGAGTTATCGCCGACTCGTACTGAAAGAAAAAAAGAAACCGTATATGTATTTTTATTGCTGCAAGGCATGTCAATACTGCTGTGGCAGGAAGTCACAGGCTGAAATGTATCTGTTTCTTTCTGCTGTCATGTAACATTAAAGGCATTACGTTCCCATATGTGCCGAGGATTTCTTAGTAATCTATGTCACTAAAAATGCCTGTGAAAAGGGTTATTTTTTGTGTTGACACATCTGCTTTGTGGCCATGCTCGGTATTTTGTTTGATCTAGCTTTTAGACAAGGAGAATAACGGCTGCCTGTGCACAATCATCTGAAACACCCCCTCAGCTGTGTGTAAAAAGACTCTTCGCTGAATATTTCTGTTTTTAGAAGCTTTTTTTCCTTTCTTTTTTACCATAACAATGTGGTTCTTGGTCAAATTTTCCGGCAGGTTGTGGATGTAGCACCAGTAGGTGGTCTCTTGATTTGGTATGATGACATTTGGTGCCACTACATCTAACATTTGTACGTCTGGAGGCAGGGTAGGTGGCGGCGTGTCGGGACGCAACATCAGGACTCTCTGTACGCCGGTGCGGATCTCGGACAGGTTCAGCTTATCCAGTGAGGCAAGTGGTTTAACCAAGAAGCCGTAGATGATGTGCACAGTCCCCTCCTGACAAATTAGAGCAATCACAAAAGAAAGAGTGTTTAATGGCCACAATAGGAGAATATGAACCTCCATGATGTGCATTTCTACTTAAGCGTCCCTTCATTTTTATTAGGCTTTAATGCCTTCTGAGGCAAGCACAGCAAACTTTTCATTATGTTGTCATAGTGATGAGCCTTGCTTTGGTGCATCTGACTTAAAAATCTAATGTGGTGCCATGGAAACTATAATCATTATAATGTTCAGAGTGTTTTATATTCACACCTTAAATTAATCAGGTTCACAGCAATGAAAATACTGCAAAAGTGCAGGCACGTGCAGACGCATGCACATAGGCCCTGTCTCATTAGCATGCACAGTGCAAAGACAATGTGTTACATTGATGCGCTAACTCAAATACTTTCTGTCTGACACTCATGATTTTTCCTCCTTCTTCATCACCTTCTTGTTATTTTGGCTTGAGGCCAAAACCAGCAAGTACAATCATGCTGTAGTTCAGTCAGACGTGATCTGTGTAGCACCTTGTCATACAGATTATTGCCATACAAAGTGATTTAGAGGTGAAAAATCAAAAAGACAGCAAAAAGATAAACACTACAGTACTGGGGTTACAGTAAATAATTTTTCAACTTAGTCATTAAAGGCAATTAAACAAACAAAAAGAAAATGTGTGCTCTCGGAATAAACCAACGCCCTTAATTTGAAGAATATTTAAAGCACTTCCTGGATTTCAATTGTTTTTGTTTAGAGTGCTCCTTAGAAGGGACACATATAAATTAAAAAATATATAGAAGAGTTTAGAGGCGCTGTCTTTTAAACAATATTTAAAATGCATTTATTCTTACAGCGTAGCCGTCTTCAAGTAAGTTTCGACAGGGAGTTAAACAGATTTCATTGAATCAATCATTCTTTTCTGGCATTGTTCCACAGACAGGAATTTTCTCCTCCAATCCTACAATGTGGTCAAGATGGTATCTAGCCATCACAGGAGGTAATTAGCATACCTCTAGCCTACATATGACAAACAAGGTTTTACAGTAAATAAAGTGATGAGCGGCAAATTAGCATCAGCATGCATCTTTGTCTGAATTTAAATGACACATTACACGTCTGCTGAATTGCCAACATCTCCTTTCAATGTGAAGAGGCGCCAGTCAAAAGAGACTAAACCAACGGGAAGGGTTTTAGATTTACAAATTACAGACTATTAAATATCCTGGCTTACATGAGGACTTCACTGCCTTTTTAAAACCTTGTTTGTCATTTAAAATGCTTTTATAGTATGTGCAATCAGTTTTGTGTTGCTTAAGAATTTGAGGGCTTGCTGAAAACCACTGGGAGGTTTTTTCAGTTTGAACAACACCCATAACTATGCGGTTCTTCAGTAATAGGTAACTTACCTGCTAATTTCCTAACTGAGTTTATCTGATGACTTCTGGCGTGCACTCCTTTTCCTCCGTTCACCTTTACTTGGGGGAGCAGTTCAGATTTAGCAGTTTGTAAGATAAATTGTTGCTTTGGGGAGTTTTATGCATTTATTTATTCACTGCATTCTAGTGGGATAGCCGTGACGATAGCCAGCCTCTCTTTCTGAAAACTGTAATTAACAGTGTGAGCAATATTTTAATAATCTTTGGTTTTAAAAAGGAAAGCAAAAGGAAAAAAAACTGCACCATCAAATTCATAAATAAACCACCTAAAGAAAGAGGTTTCTCCTGAGTACCAGAGCTTTAAAGAGCAGTGACATACACTAAGAATATAAACTCTTCACACCTCTATGACGTAGTCTCTGGGATCGCAGGTACTGAATGGTCTTTTGAAGAGCAGGTAATATCCTTCAGCTTTCTGTTTGGCTTCAATCAGGTCGTAGTCTTGTTGGCTGTCTAGTGATACATGACCCTTGCTGTCACTCCAAGCATCCTGCAGGAGAAGACAGAATAAGTCTGGTTAGGTTTTGAATAACACGCAACAAATAGCAAAGCAAAACATTTGAGAACACAGCGATAAGTTAAGAGTCAACACTGAGCAACCTATTCTTAACTGAGGGTTAGTCTAGGTTACATTCTTTCAGGGAATTTCATTATTCTGCCATTAATGAACAAATTTCAGGAGAATTACGAGTGTGTGCAAAGCATGTAGCTGCTTGTTTCTTAAGTGGTGAAAAAGTTTTGGAGTTGTTTGGCAAGTAATTATAATCCAGTTAGAGAAATCATTGAAAGTGTGCCAGTTTGTGTTTTAGAGCCATCCAAGCCTGGTGTACACGATATTCTACTTCTCTGCCAGGGGGCTTTGCAGCAGCTCAGCTCGCTCTATCCACTTCTGTTATGTTTCTCACATTCATACCTGGCCAGAATAGCACCTAAGATCTCTTTCTTTATTTCCGTCTCCCTCTCTGTCGCTCTTATATAACTGTTCTGCACACACTTCATAGACTTTAAAGCCAGCAATTCTGAAAACATACAGTATGTACAAATCAGGGGGAAAATGTTCACATTAAACAATATGTGCTATGTATGCATGTATGGAATTCACAAGCTGTGAGCTCTACAGATGGCTGAGACACAGAGTTATACAACTATTTTAAAAAGTGTTGAAGCCACAGTTTATGTGTTATCTAATCTTTTTATTTATTTGTTGTTGTTGTTTTTAAAGGAATCTCCGCTGTGTGTGAATGAGTGGAGGAATCTTTTGTCCCTGCCCTCTGAAAAAGCACAGATCAGTGTATAAGTTATGATAGAGGTCTTTCAGTCCTGAGTCACACAATAAACATGTTGGTAAATGCAGTGGGTAAAATTAATGTTGATTGTGAGGTTTTTTTTCCTAGTGTCATATAAAGAAATTAAGACTTGAGACTTTTGCTAGCTTTTTTTTTTAGCTGCTGAATGCTCCAGTGTGTGCACAAGGTAGGCAACACTTTCTAACATCCTCTTTTCCCCCTGAGCAGGTAGGTGGGATTTTAGAGCTCCCATCCAAGCGCAGGTGAGAATGATCCTACACAAGGAATTAGAGTAAACAAAAAAAAGATAACATTTCAGAACAGACAACCAAAGAATGACAGGCTTGATACAGATGAAGAGCTATTGAGACTAAACTGATAATTCTCTGTAGTTTTATCATTTCCAAGGACTCTTTACACATCGTCATCTGGTACAGACCATTATCAATTTTTTTTATTGTTTATATTTGCTTTAATACTCTTGAAAAAAAAATTCCAAACTACCGGTACTTGCATTTGTTTTATGTTATTTAATGTTACTATATCTAATATAGCAGCTGTAAATGGCTTTGCATTAACAACTGTTCATAACTGTCATACTGCTGGACCCACAAGTTTTGAGTTCTGTGGACTTTGAAATCTTATTTATTATGTTTTTTAGCTTTTTAAATGTCTTATTGTTTTCTTTCTTTTAGCTTTAAGTTCTACTGTGTGTTTATTTCATCTTCCATACACACTGCTGTGAAGATCATAGCAGAGATTTTTTTTTCATCAATCTATTGAAAGTCCGGAGTTTCTGAGTTCCTGATTGTACAGAAATGGTTCAAGCTTGAGTAGCCAGTCACTGAAAAGTGTGTGAATATATGTGCGTGTGTGTGTCTGTGTGTGTGTGTGCGTGCGTGTACGCGTGTGTGCGTGTACGCGCATGTGTGTGAGTATGTGCCTGAGCGGGAGCAAGAAAGAGAGGGAGGGAGGGAGGGAGGGAGACAGTGGAACAGCAGTGACCTTTCTTCTGTGGGTAATTTTGGCCTCCTGAGGGAAGAACGATGGAACTGGAGAAGAAAGAAAGTCCGACAGGAGGCAATCGATTGAACAAGAAAAGACTTACAATGATGCGAGTGTTACATGTAGATTGTAGATGCTTTTAAAAGGTGGGAATGCTAGACACCGACATTTATGGAAATATTTCAGAATTAAATGAAGGCATATCTTTGAAATTAAGTATAAATTATACAAATTGTTTAAATTTTACACTACTCCTTATTAATTCATAAACATTCTTATTACATGTATCCCCATTTTAAACTGGACAATTCCATGTCAAGATCCAAAAGCATGCAGCTTGTTGATATATATGTAAAATAAATGTATTGTACTTAATTTTTTTCCCCATCTTATTGAAGGAAACAAGAAAATTGTCTGTAATAGATATGGATTATTGGAACGTATTAGCACCACATGTGTTGCCTGTAGCTGAAAAATAAGTGATATTCCATATTTTGATAACTACACCACTTAGACTCTGTTCTTATGTTACTATTATAAAATATTAAAGAAAAATATCTAAAGGAGAAGGAATGAGAATCTAAACACATTCTGGTGCTTTCGTTAATATTTCCACATAAACTCTTTAGGAATACTAAAAGAGGGGGGAAAGTGTAAATCCAAACATTTTTATAGCTATGTATATTATTTTTAAGGACAGCGTATTAGAGAAAAAGTTGGATTTTGTTTAAAGGCTCAAGTCTGGCAAAAAGAAAATGAGGTAATATACATACACATCTTAATCAGCACAGGATTCAACTTTGATATGCTAATATCTGCTAATAATTCCCAGATGAATTTCAGCTATTAGTGCTGTTTGAGTGATTTCCAATTAGTGCAGACCGCCTGCATCCTTTGTGACTATGTGATCATGAAGCACACCATCCGCCGGCTCCTTCTGGAAAAACACCAATCTCACACTCCAAGGACCACAGGCAGATGATTTCTGAGAAAGAGGAAAATCTCACCTCTTTAAGGACTTCTGTGTAATCCCTGAGCATTTATGAATATGGCAAGCTAACTTGCAATAAAAATTGGCAAAGGGGGCACGATAGACTCTTTTACCTACTAAAATTAAAGTCCTTTTTACAGAGTCTTATGAAAATAAAATACACACATCTAGGGTTTACTTACTCCAAAGTAGCTCTGGGTTCCAGAGTCCCACAGCACCAACAGGTCAGCATTGGTCAGCTCTCCCCGATCGGACATCCCCAGGACCACCCCGTGTCTGAGCTCTGCAACCCTCAGCTCCATATAAATCTCCTGGTTGGTGTAGCTGACGTTCCAAGCCAGCTGGAGCTCCCCACGTGGATCAAGGGGCACCCGGAAAGGCATGGGGAGAGGTGGGAGAGGGCGAGAGGGGTTCGGTTTAAGGCTGGACACTTCAACAGCATTGTTGGGCGCCTGGTAAGAAGCCACCAAGATGACCATTAGAGCAGCCAGGGCAGTAAAATACATGATGGTTATGTCCTGAAGGCGAAGGTTTTTGCTGAAGATCCGCATCCTCAACGACAGATCGTAATGAGCTTCAGTAAAACAGCGAACAGAGTCTCTCAGGTTTTCTTTCCACCTCTATTTATTTTCTTTCTCTTTAACCAAAGTTGAACTGGAGTTCAATCCAAAATGTTTTGTGGAAACTTTTTCTCCAGAGCTGTAAAATTCTCCAAACTCAAGCACTCACTGTGTTTCTCTTCTTTGCATTCTGGCCACGGCAGAATCCCTTTCAGTGGTCATTCGAGGATTGTTGTTTTTTTTTTTTTCTTCACATGTTTTCTATCCTCTCAGGCTCTCGTTTTCTGAAAAGTTTGACTTTCTTTTAAAAACCACCAGTTTCCCAGTGTTTAGGTTTCTCTGTCTCCAAACCTTTTTGGGTATTGTCTCTGAGCAACTGCCCGGTCTCTGTCTGTCTCATCCACCTCTCTGGTTTTTAAGAGACTCCTCCCTAGTGATTTGTCTGTTTTTATCCAGCCTAATGGTATTACATTTGTTGAGGAAAATTGGATTGTATTCTTTAGGCCCTGGGGTCAACCATGATTCTGCACATCTGCCAGACCCTAATTGATCCAAATTCAACCATGGACATTATCAGCGACAATCAGCTTCAGCTAACCAAACTTTATTGCTGACTCCATCTTTGTCGCTTTGTCTTTTTGCTCGGTAAACATGTATCATATTAAAATTTTGTTTTATACCTAGCTTTTTTGGGTATTTAAAAAAGCAGATTTAGGGGGCAGCAAACGGTTCGGGAGGAGTAAACAGGGCATTAACTTATTAGGCCCATTCCTTAAGCCACTGCCTGAGGCTGCAGAAGACCTAATCAAGCTGTCAATTATGGGGTTCAAAAGCAGAAAGGACATGGTTTTAAAGGTTAGAAAAGTCCCTGCGGAAACCTGTTTGTGTGTCGTGTATGTCTGTGTTTGCATGTGGCAAAATAGAGGACGAATTGGAAGAATGAAAGACTGCTATCACAGTATTTCTACCTTCTGCATATATTTGAGTATTTTTGCATCAGATAAGGAAATAATGGGTTGATATTTGAGAAGGATTGTCAGGCTAGCTGGAAGTTACTGCTGGCAAGATTTACAGGAAAATGCCGGGCACGTATTCCCCTTATACATGACCTTTTACATTTCAACGAGCCACTGGTGAGCTATACGGGTGTAATCCAGAACCCAGTGGCTGTACTTTCAGGTTTCGGGTACAGGTGCACCCTTCTGACTGTACACACCCCCAAAAAAAACAAAAAATATTAAAGTACTGACTTTTAGTCTGGTTTCCGGCTATTCGGATGAATGGGCATTTTACAGGAAATGCAATTTCTGTTCCACATTGGTTCAGCGCACGTCTATCTTTTCTATAGACGTAATTAAATCACTTTCCCTAAATATCAGGGGCTAGTTGTCTTCAATCAATATGCAGATTTTGTGTATTCAATATTGCACATGATGTCTGACTATGTTTTTTTCCCAGAAGAGACTCATTATGAGAAAGGTTTAGATCAGAGCAGACAACGGACAGCAGATGAGAAAGGCTGGTTAATGTAATAAACTCTGTTACTCCCTGAGGCAAAAAAGATCTGTGTGTCCTTTTAGTGTCTCTGGCCTTCATTTGAGGCTCAGTAATCCTCTCTCTCTTTCTCTTTACATCTCTCTCTTTCTGTAAAATAATTGTCTCTTTTTTATCTTTCACACCACCACTTTTCAGCCTCCTGTTTCTGCTCCATTACACTGCTCTGCATTCACTACTGATCACTCTGTTCCCATCACTTCTTGGCTTCTCATATCTCATACATGCGCACTTATCTTTCTGCTGCCACTACTGATGTGTCAGCAAACAAAAACAAGATGAGACGCCGTAAAGTCAGCTGGGATCTGGAAGGAAAGGGCGAGGGGAGTGGGGAACAGATTTAGAATAAATTAGGCTTCTTTGTCTGATTATGTTTGCTTTGAAAAAAAAATGAGGTTTTTAGTCTATGTCATGTCTAGATCAATGCGCATATTGCCTCCAACACCTCTGCACCATGCAATGATTTTCTAAAAACTAAATGATGAAGACATTTTGGCTCTGGATTTATCTTTTTCAGAAGCCCTGCAGCATCTCCCAAACAATAAAGCTCCAACTTTTCTGCTGGTTCAGGGCACATCTGCTTGCTGACACCTTGAAAGTAGAGGGTGAGTGTGTGTGCATGTGTTTTTATGTCTCTCTGTGTGTCATTAGTGGGTGGATGAGAGTGAGTGAATGAGCAAAGGGTCTGTATGAGTGTATGTGTGCATGGCTGGGTCTGGGGCTTGCTGAGCCTTCACCCCTGTGGGACATGGTCACCACTCCCTGCTGGACGCTTCTGCCCCTCCCTGAGATGCAGGTCCTTTTTGGTTCTCAACTCGTACCAGGGTGGCTGGCCTCTAGTAAGGTTGACTACCCATTTGCTATTGTTCTCTGGGACTCTCACCCTTTGGCCGTGGACACCCCATCTGGGGCCTCCCTCTTTCTCCTGCTTGGATGGATGTTGCAGGTGTTGCCAAGATGTGTCGCCTTGGGTCTTTGGTACTCTTGGGGGCTGTGGATGGTGTGGTTGTCCTGGTTCCATATGCCTCTGATTGGGTCTAGCCATTTTAGCTCGCCTCTCTTTAAGGACATCGTCACTTTAAGCCAACTCTCCCCTCATTGGCTGCCCTTTGTCGATAAAAGGTTTGATCAGCATTGAGAGCATACTGAAACCTTTTGGCCTCGCAGGGATTAATTGTACAGAAGATGACTTTATTATACAAAACTTTGTCCATTACTAACACGGGCATTTACCAATGTAAGACTATATAATAAAAAATCACAAAAGGCTTTAAATGTGTTTCCCTCCACCAGCTTTTCTCATGGGTTAAGCACACAAAAGCCTGTGTGGAAGCACAATGAATGAAAGATTATAGAAAAATGAGTTTTGTACTTCACTACAGTGGAAAAGTTAATTAAAGCAGAAATGCAATGGAAAACAGCCCTGCATCTCACAATAGACTTTTTCTTTTGAGTGACATCTGTTTGTACTGCATTCACTACATTCACTTTGCTACCTGTCCTTTTAATGTCTGCCTTTCTGTTGTTTTACATCTATTTTTCTTGTTTGTTATGTATTCCTGTTGTCTTATTATTTATGTTTCCTGCACAGTTGGTGTGGAGCACCCACAATTTCACTGTACATGTACAGTGACAATCAAGGACTATTCTATTCTATTCTATTCTACTCTATTCTACTCTAGTCTTTATGAATATATGAGAATATTTTCAGTTTTCTACATCAGTGCAACTTTTAAGATTTGACATGTAGTCTTTTAATCATGTCATTGTCTTGCATCATTGTCTTCTGTTGCTGTGATTTAATGAGCTGTGACTATAAGGAATTTCATTCCCTGGATGGGAAATTAAACTAGATCATATTAATATCAATAAATCAAATGAATACATTTGTTCTACTGTTGGCATGGGATCTGTTTTTGAGTTATATCATACTTGAAGTATTTAAAGTAATGCAATATTTGCTGAACAATGACTGTTACAACAACAAGTGACAATGAGGGAAAGGCTGTGTAACTGGCACATACTGACTGTGTTAAAGTTAGCTAATGTTAGTCACAATGAGCTACCAGAGTAAGCAAAACTGGAGCATCAAGCCCCAGAGTGTAGCGAAGTGAGAAAGATTGTTTTATTGATTGTGAATTTCAATTTTCTGTTACTCAACGAGGACTGTTTTACTTCTTCTTTCTAAAGTTACATATAGTGTCACTTAGACTTCAAATGCTCACACAGTGATCCTGTGATTCGGGGCCCCTAAGGGTGTGGGGCTCCAAGGCAGTAGCCCACTTTTGCCTGTCTGTTTGCTAATCCAACTTTGAGGAGGGAAGAGGACTGTACTAAGATGTGGAATTAAACTCCAACAAAACTGATGTTACTTAGTGCACTTTTATTAAATTCTGCTACTGAATCAGAAGCAGAAGCTTTCACAGACTGGCCACTCTGACACACATCACCTTGTTTGCAAGTGTGTATACACACACACATACACACACACACACACACACACACACACACACAGAGAGAGAGAGAGAAAGAGGGAGAGAGGGAGA